CTGTGTTTAACACCTTCCCCTTCACTCTGCGTCTCTCACAGCGTGCAAGTGGGCTGTTATGGCATACGGGGATGGGGGCAGCTCGCGCTCAACTTCATCAACGTGGCGAGCCTTGCACGTGAGAGGCACAGTGGAGGTGGAGTTCAAAGAAAAATGAGAAATTTAATTGTTTCAATCTGCCCTTGTTTTTTGTTTTTGTTTTTATTTTTATTTTTGCATGTTATCACTGTGCCCGTTTTTTGCTTTTATTCTTTGTTCCGCAAAGTGCACTCTTTTAGTTTGTAGTTATGTGACAATATATATATATATATATAGAGAGAGAGAGAGAGAGAGTCATGCACTCGGGCAAAACATCGATCACACTCAAAGTTCGAGATCTTCAGCAAATCAGATAAACAATGATCAATATTCAGAAAACTGCAGAAATCTCAAACTGAAAAACTGCGCAGGTCATTGCGGTTGTTAATCCACAAAAATGTCCATGCCAGAATTCACCTGCAAATCTCCAAAGAAAACAAAGAACAAAAACACAAAGCATGAAGAATCGTTGCAGATGCAAATGCAATAACCCAGATGTACTCTGAAGTGTCTGGAATCTGGATGTGTGGGACGGATGGCTGGCAAGCTATGCTTTCACAGGTTCATATGGACAAGATCTCTGTGGGTCTTGGGAGGGGCCTCTCTCCATTTACACCCCCTTCCCAGCACCCCCAATCCCCACTCCCTCTCTTCGTTAACCCCACCCCCTACCCTCTAGGTTTTCCTTTTCATTGTTCAGCAATGAAAAAAACTGACAAGGAATGATGCCCAATGAATCTTCCTTTGATGGGTGGGGAGAGGGGAGAAGGGGGATATGGTTGGTTGGAGGTGGGAAGGGAGGTAATGGCATGGTCATTTGGAGGGAAAGGCGAAGAGGGACAGCAGGGAAAGGGGGGACTGCAGAACGAGGGTGGGAGAAATGAGCCCTGGACCAAAATGGATGAACCGTAAGAGAAAAAAGGAATGTCTGAAGCTGCTGGTACAGATATGGACAAACAGAAGAATTGACGATTGACAAAAGTGCACGTGCATGCACCAGGGACAGATGGAAAAATGGGAACCAAAACTGATCCAGCATGGGAAATGTAGCAGACAAACACAAAGACACAAACATTTACATCACTCCTCTTTGTGTGTGTGTGTGTGTGTGTGTGTGTGTGTGTGTGTGTGTGTGTGTGTGTGTGTGTGTGTG